AACGATTAATCGATTAATTGATCGTTAATTTAAACGACGATCGATCATGGAAATTATCGAAAATTGACATCCAGCTACTATAAAATATTTTCGGCTTCATTCTATGATAAGCCAAATCAGATCACAAAAGAAAGTTATTTCAAACACTCGACTGATATTATGAAGTGAGTTTGGAATCAAAAAAATATGTTATTAAATGTGTATTTAGCTGGACAATAGGTTTATAAATGCTTCTCATTACACTGCGGTGTGCATGAACTCGCTGTCAGAAGAGGTAGAGAGAAAGCGCAGCTGTGTTATCAATAATGTGAAAAATAGAGTATTGAAACAGTTTTAGATGTTTGGTGCTTGGCAAGTGTTCATTTTTGACCCTGATTGAAGAGCTCTTGGAGTATATTGAGGGCATTTCCTCTGTTTAGTGCCACTACATGCTGCAGATGTGTAAAAAATGCATGAAACCTTTTTACAGGTCATTAACCTTATTGTCTCTATCTCTGTCACTTTACTGGAAACTTTTGGTTTTTGCAGCCACTTAATGAAACATGAGTCTAGTTTGGCTATTACTAATCAGCACATATTGTGACTACTATTTAAAATGTAATAACACATGAATTATTTTGGTCTGAAGTTCTCAGAAATTCTTTCAGTTCTGCAAATACAGGTATTGAATGCATTAGTTATCCGTTTGCACAAAATATGTCCTTACAGAGTGCTGCAGGAATGAGTCCTAAAACCTGGAAATTTGAGTTGGCATTTATGGTTCCATTGTCACAAAGTCACAGGGTTTTTGAATCGATTTTTGGTTAAATGCCTGAAATAAGGTCTGTGGTTAACACAATGTATAAAATGTAGTAATATTTTGAAAGTTTTTTTTTTTTTTTTTTTTGGCTTTTATGTGTTTTAAAAAAGGTGATTGCCAATAAGTGGCAAAATTGATCTTTAAACATATCTACCCACTAGGGCTGCATGATATATCGAAATTATCAAAATATCGCAAATGTTAATATAGCAATATGCATATCGCAAGGGCGTGCGATATCTGAATCATTTTAATAATAGGCTACTTAAATCAAAACGTTGCAAAAGGTCAAAGTTTTAGTTCGACGCATATAGCAGAGAATTGCTTGATGTTAAAAAGAGTTAAGTGCAAGAAAAACAACT